ACCTGCTGTGCATCACGTGCATGGCAACCGACAAGCACGCGCCGGGCTGTTCGAGACGGTACCGCATGCAGGAGCCCAAGGACATGAAACGTCCTAAGAATGCGAACCCCAAGTGGAGCGTGCCACAAGACCTAATCGAGCTGCAGCCATCGTATGAACAGGTGGGGTCCGTTTAGGGTTGTACATTCTAGGAGGAGGGAGGGAGGGTGGGGGTGTGCCCTGCAGTACCGCATGCAGGAGCCCGAGGAGATGAAGCGGCCTGAGAATGCAAACCCAAAATGGAGTGTGCCTCAGGATTTGATCGAGCTGCAGCCGTCATACAAACAGGTGGGGTTCTTTTCTCTTGGAGTGTTAGAGTATGCGTCACGCGTGGGCATTTGTTGTTGTTAGGACAGACGGGGTGTGCCTGGTGCCGGCGGTACCTCATGCAGGAGCCCAAGGACAGGAAGGGAGCACAGACTCCCAACCCCAAGTGGAGTTGGAATCTCAGAAGTGATCCACTCGACTTGGGCTCCATGCAGGAGCGTCAAGACCTGATCGTGGTGCAACCATCGTGGGTCCCAATCGAGGGTCCCAATCCTCGTTGCCCCCTCTTTCTCCCATTCCTTGTGCGCAGAGGGAGTTGCATCTGGAGTGGCAGACGACAGCCAGCACCAAGGTGGATTACCTTCTCTCCCAGCTGCGCCTGCTCGCTCCCATTCTCCACTTCTCTTTCACCTTTCCTCGTTCTCCTCCCCCCCTTCCTCTCAGAGGGAGTGGCATCTGGAGTGGCAGGCGACAGCCAGCACCAAGGTGGATTACCTGCTCTCGCAGCTGCGCCTGCTCGCTCCCCCTCCTCCTCCTGCCCCTCCTCTTCCCGGCAGCAAGCTGTCTGCCCCTCCTCTCTCCACTGCATCAGCTCCACTATACCCACATGTAGGACCACCACTGTTGTCACATTCAATACAGTCACCATCAGAAGCAGCACAGCCACGCACGGTACCACACACTGTGACGCCCTCACCACCATTGGGAGATTCAAATGAGCCGATGGATAGTTGCGCGGAGTCAGAGCACGGAGAGGGGGCAGCAAATGGCTGTGCTGCCCATGCCATGGGGGCACAAGGCCCTGTGGCTGCTGGGGGGCTTGGAGGGGAGAGGGACGGATATGGTAGGGAGAATAGGAGATACGATGGCGAGAAGGCGATAGTGTTCACGCAGTTTCTGGAGCACATCGCACTGCTGGAGGCGCAGCTTACACTCGCCGGTGTCAACTTCGCTGGCCTTTACAACCCCAGGCCTCAATCCGACAAGGTTTGTTGCATACCATTTCATCAGTCCCATTTCGTCAGTCCCATTTCGTTCACAGTCAGACTCATTTTGGTCAAAGGCTGGACCCATCACGTGAAGATCGTGTGCAGCCTGAGTGAGCTCGCCATGTTCGCCATGTGAACATGTTCTCCTTCGGCCTGCTTCTTTTGTATCAGCCCTCGACCCACTGTGTGAAGGCCATTCACCCATCTGTGATCGTGCTTTGCCTCATGCCCTCTTCATCCTTTCACTATCTGTCCATATGTCCTTGCCTGTACGCATGTGATGTGATGTGATGTGATGTGATGTGATGCATGCATGTGGGTATGTGATGTGATGTATGCATGCATGTGGGTATGTGATGTGATGTATGCATGCATGTGGGTATGTGATGTGATGTATGCATGCATGCATGCATGCATGTACATATCCATATGCTATTCATGCATGTGTGACTATAACGAGAGCAGATGCAGGAGCTGCTGCGCTTCCAGCACGACCCGGCGTGCCGCGTGCTTCTAATAGATGGCCCGGGGTCGCCCGGTCTCGACCTCTCCTTTGTGTCACGCGTCTTCCTCATGGAACCCGTGTGGGACCCCAGGTACAAACTGTGCATGTGTGTGTGTTGTGTCAAGCCATGCTATGTGTAGAGTGCTGTCATGCGCCATGCCATGTGTCGCGCGTGTTCCTCATGGAACCCGTGTGGGACCCCAGGTACATTCTAAGTATGGGTGTGATGCGTCAAGCCATGCTATATCTAAAGTGGTGTCATGCAGCATGCCATGTGACACGCGTCTTCCTCAGGGAGCCCGTGTGGGACCCAAGGTGTGTTTTATCCCATGTTTTACTTCCTTGTTTCCATGACAGCCACTAGCACATGGTACTCACGGCATCACATGTCCTGGTTTCCATGTGGGCAGCTAGTTCACCCATGCCCACATGTCCACCGTCCCAAACCCCCACGCCACCCCCATCCGACCCCACTTCCCCACCCCCGTCCGCGGCACTCTTCTCCCACGCAGTGTGGAGGAGCAGATGGTGTCTCGAGCGCATCGCATGGGCGCCTCTCGGCCAATCACGGTGGAGACATTGGCCATGGCAGGCACGCTGGAAGAGCACATGCTGCACATACTGCAGGTAGGTTCGGTGCAGGTAGGTTCGGTGCAGGTAGGTCTGGTGCAGGTACATCTGGTAAAGTCACCCCAAGAAATGGCCCGTTTGTTTCGGCGCAGTGCAGGTATGTCTAGTGGAGGTATATCTTGTGCAAGCACGAGAGGTGACAACCTGCTTGCACCTCTGAACCTCCCCTCCTTCCCCACGTCTCCTTTCTGCATTCTTTGTTATCCTGCCTGCGCTCATTTCCCCTCCCTCACGACGTCTCCTCTCCATCCCGCAGCGCCTGCCCGACAGCGGGGCGCAGGCGAAGCAGACGCAGGCAAGGGAGGCAGTGGCACGCAACGCCGTCCTGCTGGCACTGAAGCTCGTCTGCCCTCCTCTCCTTCCCGGTGCTTCCCCTCTTCATTGCAGCGTCTGCCCGACCGCGGGGTGCAGGCAAAGCAGCGCCAAGCAAGGGAAGCCGTGGCACGCAACGCCGTCGTGCTGGCACTGAAGCTCATCTGCCCTCCCCTCCTTCTTGGTGCTTCCCCTCTTCATTGCAGCGTCTGCCTGACTGCGGGGCGCAGGCAAAGCAGCGCCAAGCAGCTGGAAAGCGAGAGAATGGGGCAGGGTGATGGAAATCGGAAGAATGGGGCGGGGTGCTGGAAAGCGGGAGAATGGGGCGGGGTGATGGAAAGCGGGAGAATGGGGCGGGGTGATGGAAAGCGGGAGAATGGGGCGGGGTTATGGAAAGAGGGAGAATGGGGCGGGGTGATGGAAAGAGGGAGAATGGGGCGGGGTGATGGAAAGCGGGAGAATGGGGCAGGGTGATGGAAAGCGGGAGAATGGGGCGGGGTGATGGAAAGGGCGGGGTGATGGAAAGCGGGAGAATGGGGCGGGGTGATGGAAAGTGGGAGAATGGGGCGGGGTGATGGAAAGCGGGAGAATGGGGCGGGGTGATGGAAAGCGGGAGAATGGGGCCGGGTGATGGAAAGCGGGAGAATGGGGCGGGGTGATGGAAAGGGCGGGGTGATGGAAAGCGGGAGAATGGGGCGGGGTGATGGAAAGTGGGAGAATGGGGCGGGGTGATGGAAAGCGGGAGAATGGGGCGAGGTGATGGAAAGCGGGAGAATGGGGCGGGGTGATGGAAAGCGGGAGAATGGGGCGGGGTGATGGAAAGAGGGAGAATGGGGCGGGGTGATGGAAAGCGGGAGAATGGGGCGGGGTGATGGAAAGAGGGATAATGGGGCGGGGTGATGGAAAGCGGGAGAATGGGCGGGGTGATGGAAAGAGGGAGAATGGGGCGGGGTCATGGAAAGAGGGAGAATGGGGCGGGGTGCTGGAAAGCGGGAGAATGGGGCGGGGTGATGGAAAGCGGGAGAATGGGGCGGGGTGATGGAAAGCGGGAGAATGGGGCGGGGTGATGGAAAGCGGGAGAATGGGGCGGGGTTATGGAAAAAGGGAGAATGGGCCGGGGTGATGGAAAGAGGGAGAATGGGGCGGGGTGATGGAAAGAGGGAGAATGGGGCGGGGTGATGGAAAGCGGGAGAATGGGGCAGGGTGATGGAAAGAGGGAGAATGGGGAGGGGTGATGGAAAGCGGGAGAATGGGGCGGGGTGATGGAAAGCGGGAGAATGGGGCGGGTGATGGAAAGTGGGAGAATGGGGCGGGGTGCTGGAAAGCGAGAGAATGGGGTGGGTTGATGTAAAGCGGGAGAATGGGGCGGGTGATGGAAAGCGGGAGAATGGGGCGGGGTGATGGAAAGAGGGAGAATGGGGTGGGGTGATGGAAAGCGAGAGAATGAGGCGGGGTGATGGAAAGCGGGAGAATGGGGCGGGGTGATGGATAGAGGGAGTTGGGGCGGGGTGATGGAAAGAGGGAGAATGGGGCGGGGTGATGGAAAGAGGGAGAATGGGTCAGGGTGATGGAAAGCGGGAGAATGGGGCGGGTGATGGAAAGCGGGACAATGGGGCGGGGTGATGGAAAGCGGGAGAATGGGGCCGGGTGATGGGATCCGGGAGAATGGGGCAGGGTGCTGGAAAGCGGGAGAATGGGGCGGGGTGATGGAAAGCGGGAGAATCGGGCGGGGTGATGGAAAGTGGGAGAATGGGGCGCGGTGATGGAAAGAGGGAGAATGGGGCGGGGTGATGGAATGCGGGAGAATGGGGCGGGGTGATGGAAAGCGGGAGAATGGGGCAGGGTGATGGAAAGCGGGAGAATGGGGCGGGGTGATCGAAAGAGGGAAAATGGGGCGGGTGATGGAAAGCGGGAGAATGGGGCGGGGTGATGGAAAGCGGGAGAACGGGGCGGGGTGATGGAAAGCGGGAGAATGAGGCGGGGTGATGGAAAGCGGGAGAATGGGGCGGGGTGATGGAAAGAGGGAGAATGGGGTGGGGTTATGGAAAGAGGGAGAATGGGGCGGGGTGATGAGAGGGAGAATGGGGCTGGGTGATGGAAAGAGGGAGAATGGGGCAGGGTGATGGAAGGAGGGAGGTTAAGGCGGGGTGATGGAAAGCGGGAGAATGGGGCGGGGTGATGGAAAGCGGGAGAATGGGGCGGGGTGATGGAAAGCGGGAGAATGGGGCGGGGTGATGGAAAGCGGGAGAATGGGGCGGGGTGATGGAAAGAGGGAGAATGGGGCGGGGTGATGGAAAGCGGGAGAACGGGGCGGGGTGATGGAAAGCGGGAGAATGAGGCGGGGTGATGGAAAGCGGGAGAATGGGGCGGGGTGATGGAAAGAGGGAGAATGGGGTGGGGTTATGGAAAGAGGGAGAATGGGGCGGGGTGATGAGAGGGAGAATGGGGCTGGGTGATGGAAAGAGGGAGAATGGGGCGGGGCGATGGAAAGAGGTAGAATGGGGCGGGCTGATGGAAAGCGGGAGAACGGGGCGGGGTGATGGAAAGCGGGAGAATGAGGCGGGGTGATGGAAAGCGGGAGAATGGGGCGGGGTGATGGAAAGAGGGAGAATGGGGTGGGGTTATGGAAAGAGGGAGAATGGGGCGGGGTGATGAGAGGGAGAATGGGGCTGGGTGATGGAAAGAGGGAGAATGGGGCGGGGTGATGGAAAGCAGGAGAATGGGGCGGGGTGATGGAAAGAGGGAGAATGGGGGGGGGGGAGGGCGATAGAAAGAGGGAGAATGGGGCGGGGTGATGGAAAGCGGGAGAATGGGGCGAGGTGATGGAAAGAGGGAGAATGGGGCGGGGTGATGGAAAGAGGGAGAATGGGGCGGGGTGATGGAAAGAGGGAGAATGGGGCGGGGTGATGGAAAGAGGGAGAATGGGGTTGGGTGATGGAAAGAGGGATAATGGGGCTGGGTGATGGAAAGAGGGAGAATGGGGCGGGGCGATAGAAAGCGGGAGAATGGGGTGGGGCGATGGAAAGAGGGAGAATGAGGCGGGGTGATGGAAAGCGGGAGAATGGGGCGGGGTGATGGATTTAGGGAGAATGGGGCGGGGCGATGGGAAGAGGCAGAATGGGGCGGGGTGATGGAAAGAGGGAGAATGGGGCGGGGTGATGGAAAGCGGGAGAATGGTGCGGGGTGATTGAGAGAGGGAGAATGGGGCGGTGTGATGGAAAGCGGGAGAATGGGGCGGGGTGATGGAAAGTGGGAGAATGGGGCGGGGTGATGGAAACCGGGAGAATGGGGCGCGGTGATGGAAAGAGGGAGAATGGGGCGGGGTGATGGAAAGCGGGAGAACGGGGCGGGGAGATGGAAAGCGGGAGAATGGGGCGGGGTGATGGAAAGCGGGAGAATGGTGCGGGGTGATTGAGAGAGGGAGAATGGGGCGGGGTGATGGAAAGCGGGAGAATGGGGCGGGGTGATGGAAAGTGGGAGAATGGGGCGGGGTGATGTAAAGCGGGAGAATGGGGCGGGGTGATGGAAAGAGGGAGAATGGGGCGGGGTGATGTAAAGCGGGAGAACGGGGCGGGGTGATGGAAAGCGGGAGAATGGGGCGGGGTGATGGAAAGCGGGAGAACGGGGCGGGGTGATGGAAAGTGGGAGAATGGGGCGGGGTGATGGAAAGCGGGAGAATGGGGCGGGGTGATGGAAAGGGGGAGAATGGGGCGGGGTGATGGAAAGCGGGAGAATGGGGCGGGGTGATGGAAAGCGAGAGAACGGGGCGGGGTGATGGAAAGAGGGAGAATGGGGCGGGGTGATGGAAGCGGGAGAATGGGACGGGCTGATGGAAAGCGGGAGAAGGGGCGGGGTTATATAAAGAGGGAGAATGGGGCGGGGTCATGGAAAGCGGGAGAATGGGGCGGGGTAATGGAAAGCGGGAGAATGGGGCGGGATGATGGAAAGCGGGAGAAGAGGGCGGGGTGATGGTAAGAGGGAGAATGGGGCGGGGTGATGGAAAGCGGGAGAACGGGGCGGGGTGATGGAAAGCGGGAGAACGGGGCGGGGTGATGGGAAGCGGGAGAATGGGGCGGGGTGATGGAAAGAGGGAGAATGAGGCGGGGCGATGGAAAGCGGGAGAACGGGGCGGGGTGATGGAAAGCGGGAGAACGGGGCGGGGTGATGGGAAGCGGGAGAACGGGGCGGGGTGAATAAAAGTGGGAGAATGGGGCGGGGTGATGGAAAGAGGGAGAATGGGGCAGGGTGATGGAAGGAGGGAGGTTAAGGCGGGGTGATGGAAAGCGGGAGAATGGGGCGGGGTGATGGAAAGCGGGAGAATGGGGCGGGGTGATGGAAAGCGGGAGAATGGGGCGGGGTGATGGAAAGAGGGAGAATGGGGCGGGGTGATGGAAAGCGGGAGAACGGGGCGGGGTGATGGAAAGCGGGAGAATGGGGTGGGGTGATGGAAAGCGGGAGAATGGGGCGGGGTGATGGAAAGCGGGAGAATGGGGCGGGGTGATGGAAAGCGGGAGAATGGGGCGGGGTGATGGAAAGGGGGAGAATGGGAAGGGGTGATGGAAAGCGGGAGAATGGGGCGGGGTGATGGAAAGCGAGAGAATGGGGCGGGGTGATGGAAAGAGGGAGAATGGGGCGGGGTGATGGAAGCGGGAGAATGGGGCGGGGTGATGGAAAGCGGGAGAAGGGGCGGGGTTATATAAAGAGGGAGAATGGGGCGGGGTGATTGAAAGAGGGAGAATGGGGCGGGGTGATGGAAAGCGGGAGAACGGGGCGGGGTGATGCAAAGCGGGAGAACGGGGCGGGGTGATGGGAAGCGGGAGAACGGGGCGGGGTGAAAAAAAGTGGGAGAATGGGGCCGGGTGATGGAAAGAGGGAGAGTGGGGCAGGGTGATGGAAGGAGGGAGGTTAAGGCGGGGTGATAGAAAGCGGGAGAAAGGAGCGGGGTGATGGGAAGAGGGAGAATGGGGCGGGGTGATGGAATGCGGGAGAATGGGGCGGGGTGATCGGAAGCGGGAGAATGGGGCAGGGTTATGGAAAGCGGGAGAATGGGGCGGGGTGATGGAAAGCGGGAGAATGGTGCGGGGTGATGGAAAGAGGGAGAATGAGGCGGGGTGATGGAAATCGGGAGAATGGGGCAGGGTGATGGAAAGCGGGAGAATGGAACGGGGTGATGGAAAGCGGGAGAATGGGGCGGGGTGATGGAAAGAAGGAAAATGGGGCGGGGTGATGGAAGGGGGGAGAATGCGGCGGGGTGATGGAAAGCGGGAGAATGGGGCGGGGTGAGGTAGGATGGAGCGGGGTGATGGAAAGCGGCAAAATGGGGCGGGGTGATGGAAGGAGGGAGGATGGGGCGGGGTGATGGAAAGCGGGAGAATGGGGCGGGGTGATGGAAAGATGGAGAATGGGGCGGGGTGATGGAAAGCGGGAGAATAGGGCGGGGTGATGGGAAGCGGGAGAATGGGGCGGGGTGCTGGAAAGCGGGAGAATAGGGCGGGGTGATGGAAAGCGGGAGAATGGGGCGGGGTGATGGAAAGCGGGAGAATGGGGCGGGGTGATGGAAAGAGGGAGAATGGGGCGGGGTGATGGAAAGCGGGAGAATGGGGCGGGGTGATGGAAAGCGAGAAAATGGGGCGGGGTCATGGAAAGAGGGAGAATGGGGCGGGGTGATGGAAAGCGGGAGAACGGGGCGGGGTGATGGAAAGCGGGAGAATGGGGCGGGGTGATGGAAAGAGGGAGAATGGGGCGGGGTGATGGAAAGCGGGAGAACGGGGCGGGGTGATGGAAAGCGGGAGAACGGGGCGGAGTGATGGAAAGCGGGAGAATGGGGTGGGGTGATGGAAAGCGGGAGAATGGGGCGGGGTGATGGAAAGCGGGAGAACGGGGCGGGATGATGGAAAGCGGGAGAATGGGGCGGGGTGATGGAAAGCGGGAGAATGGGGTGGGGTGATGGAAAGCGGGAGAATGGGGCGGGGTGATGGAAAGCGGGAGAATGGGGCGGGATGACGGAAAGCGGGAGAATGGGGCGGGGTGATGGAAAGCGGGAGAATGGGGCGGGGTGATGGAAAGCGGGAGAATGGGGCGGGGTGATAGAAAGCGGGAAAATGGGGCGGGGTGATGGAAAGAGGGAGAATGGGGCGGGGTGATGGAAAGAGGGAGAATGGGGCGGGGTGATGGAAAGAGGGAGAATGGGGCGGGGTGAGGAAAGAGGGAGAATGGGGCGGGGTGATGGAAAGCGAGAGAATGTGGCGGGGTGATGGAAGGCGGGAGAATGGGGCGGGTGATGGAAAGCGGGAGAACGGGGCGAGGTGATGGAAAGCGGGAGAATGGGGCGAGGTGATGGAAAGCGGGAGAATGGGGCGGGGTGATAGAAAGCAGGAAAATGGGGCGGGGTGATGGAAAGAGGGAGAATGGGGCGGGGTGATGGAAAGAGGGAGAATGGGGCGGGGTGATGGAAAGAGGGAGAATGGGGCGGGGTGAGGAAAGAGGGAGAATGGGGCGGGGTGATGGAAAGCGAGAGAATGTGGCGGGGTGATGGAAGGCGGGAGAATGGGGCGGGTGATGGAAAGCGGGAGAACGGGGCGAGGTGATGGAAAGCGGGAGAATGGGGCGAGGTGATGGAAAGCGGGAGAAGGGGGCAGGGTGATGGAAAGCGGGAGAATGGGGCGGGGTGATGGAAAGCGGGAGAATGAGGTGGAGTGATGGAAAGAGGGAGAATGGGGTGGGGTGATGGAAAGCGGGAGAATGGGGCGGGGTGATGGAAAGCGGGAGAATGGGAGACCATGGGCCATCGGAATATGCAATATCATTTAGGTCGTTCGATGATTTTTCCTACGCCCATAGGGATCCATGTGCTTCCTTAGCATTTGTAGGCTGAAACTGACATCATCGCAATCGCCGAACTTTTCTGTTCGCGCAAACCAAGCTGAAATTGCTCTGGTAGGTGTATTTGACCATGGGCCATCGGAATATGCAATAACATTCAGGCCGTTTGATGATTTTCCCCACGCCCGTAGAGATCCATGCGCTCCCTTAGCATTTGTCAGCTAAAACTGCCATCATCACGATCGCCGAACTAGTCTGTTCGCACAAACCAAGCTGAAATTGATGTGGTAGGTGTATTTGACCATGGGACATCGGAATATGCAATAACATTCAGGTCGTTCTACGATTTTCTCTACGCCTATAGGGATCCATGCGCTTCCTTAGCATTTGTCGGCTGAAATTGTCATCATCCCACTAGTTGTGGATGCGGAAAATAGTCTAATCTAGTGGACTAGCACAAAAAAAGAGGCATCTAATGCAGTGGACCAGTCAATGTGATGCGTTGGGCAGTCTGGTCAGTATGCGCACCTATAATGGGCGTACCAGGCAGAGTTCAGGCGCTCAATTTTGAGAACCACTTGGAACGAAATGGAAAATAGTCTAATCTAAAGAAGAGGCATCCAATGCAGTGGACCAGTCAAAGTGATGCGTTGGGCAGTCTGGTCAGCATGCGCACCTATAATGGGCGTACCAGGGATAGTTCAGGCGCTCAAATTTTGAGAACCACATGGAACGAAATGGAAAGGGGTGATGGAAAGCGGGAGAACGGGGCGGGGTGATGGAAAGCGGGAGAACGGGGCGGAGTGATGGAAAGCGGGAGAACGGCGCGGGGTGATGGAAAGCGGGAGAACGGGGCGGGGTGATGGGAAGCGGGAGAATGGGGCAGGGTGATGGAAAGAGGGAGAATGGGGCGGGGTGATGGAAAGCGGGAGAACGGGGCGGGGTGATGGAAAGCGGGAGAACGGGGCGGGGTGATGGGAAGCGGGAGAACGGGGCGGGGTGAATAAAAGTGGGAGAATGGGGCGGGGTGATGGAAAAAGGGAGAATGGGGCAGGGTGATGGAAGGAGGGAGGTTAAGGCGAGGTGATGGAAAGCGGGAGAAAGGAGCGGGGTGATGGGAAGAGGGAGAATGGGGCGGGGTGATGGAACGCGGGAGAAAGGGGCGGGGTGATAGGAAGCGGGAGAATGGGGCGGGGTTATGGAAAGCGGGAGAATGGGGCGGGGTGATGGAAAGCGGGAGAATGGTGTGGGGTGATGGAAACAGGGAGAATGAGGCGGGGTGATGGAAAGCGGGAGAATGGAACGGGGTGATGGAAAGCGGGACAATGGGGCGGGGTGATGGAAAGAGGGAAAATGGGGCGGGGTGATGGAAGGAGGGAGAATGCGGCGGGGTGACGGAAAGCGGGAGAATGGGGCGGGGTTATGGAAAGCGGGAGAATGGGGCGGGGTGATGGAAAGCGGGAGAATGGTGTGGGGTGATGGAAACAGGGAGAATGGGGCGGGGTGATGGAAAGCGGGAGAATGGAACGGGGTGATGGAAAGCGGGAGAATTGGGCGGGGTGATGGAAAGAGGGAAAATGGGGCGGGGTGATGGAAGGAGGGAGAATGCGGCGGGGTGACGGAAAGCGGGAGAATGGCTCGGGGTGATGGAAGGAGGGAGGTTGGAGCGGGGTGATGGAAAGCGGGAGAATGGGGCGGGGTGATGGAAGGAGGGAGGATGGGGCGGGGTGATGGAAAGTGGGAGAATGGGGCGGGGTGATGGAAAGCTGGAGAATGGGGCGGGGTGATGGAAAGCGGGAGAATAGGGCGGGGTGATGGGAAGCGGGAGAATGGGGCGGTGTGATGGAAAGCGGGAGAATGGGGCGGGGTGATGGAAAGCGGGAGAATGGGGTGGGGTGATGGAAAGAGGGAGAATGGGGCGGGGTGATGGAAAGAGGGAGAATGGGGCGGGGTGATGGAAAGCGGGAGAATGGGGCGGGGTGATGGAAAGCGAGAGAATGGGGCGGGGTCATGGAAAGAGGGAGAATGGGGCGGGGTGATGGAAAGCGGGAGAACGGGGCGGGGTGATGGAAAGCGGGAGAACAGGGCGAGGTGATGGAAAGCGGGAGAACGGGGTGGGGTGATGGAAAGCGGGAGAATGGGGCGGGGTGATGGAAAGCGGGAGAATGGGGCGGGATGACGGAAAGCGGGAGAATGGGGCGGGGTGATGGAAAGCGGGAGAATGGGGCGGGCTGATGGAAAGCGGGAGAATGGAGCGGGGTGATGGAAAGCGGGAGGATGGGCCGGGGTGATGGAAAGCGGGAGGATGGGGCGGGGTGATGGAAAGCGGGAGGATGGGGCGGGGTGATGGAAAGCGGGAGGATGGGGCAGGGTGATGGAAAGGGGGAGGATGGGGGGGGGTGATGGAAAGCGGGAGAATGGGGCGGGGTGATGGAAAGCGGAAGAATGGGGCGGGGTGATGGAAAGCGGGAGAATGGGGCGGGGTGATGGAAAGCGGGAGAATGGGGCGGGGTGAAGGAAAGCGGGAGAAGGGGGCGGGGTGATGGAAAGCGGGAGAATGGGGCGAGGTGATGGAAAGCGGGACAATGGGGCGAGGTGATGGAAAGCGGGAGAATGGGGCGGGGTGATGGAAAGCGGGAGAATGTGGCGGGGTGATGGAAAGCGGGAGAATGGGGCGGGGTGATAGAAAGAGGGAGAATGGCGGGGTGATGGAAAGAGGGAGAATGGGGCGGGATGATGGAAAGCGGGAGAATGGGGAGGGGTGATGGAAAGCGGGAGAATCGGAGACCATGGGCCATCGGAATATGCAATACCATTTAGGTCATTCGATGATTTTTCCTAAACCCATAGGGATCCATGCACTTTCTTAGCATTTGTAGGCTGAAACTGACATCATCGCAATCGCCGAACTTTTCTGTTCGCGCAAACCAAGCTAAAATTTCTCTGGTAGGTGTATTTGACCATGGGCCATCGGAATATGCAATAACATTCAGGCCGTTTGATGATTTTCCCCACGCCCGTAGAGATCCATGCGCTCCCTTAGCATTTGTCAGCTAAAACTGCCATCATCACGATCGCCGAACTAGTCTGTTCGCACAAACCAAGCTGAAATTGATCTGGTAGGTGTATTTGACCATGGGACATCGGAATATGCAATAACATTCAGGTCGTTCTATGATTTTCTCTACGCCTATAGGGATCCATGCGCTTCCTTAGCATTTGTCGGCTGAAATTGTCATCATCCCACTAGTTGTGGATGCGGAAAATAGTCTAATCTAGTGGACTAGCACAAAAAAAGAGGCATCTAATGCAGTGGACCAGTCAATGTGATGCGTTGGGCAGTCTGGTCAGTATGCGCACCTATAATGGGCGTACCAGGCAGAGTTCAGGCGCTCAATTTTGAGAACCACTTGGAACGAAATGGAAAATAGTCTAATCTAAAGAAGAGGCATCCAATGCAGTGGACCAGTCAAAGTGATGCGTTGGGCAGTCTGGTCAGCATGCGCACCTATAATGGGCGTACCAGGGATAGTTCAGGCGCTCAAATTTTGAGAACCACATGGAACGAAATGGAAAGGGGTGATGGAAAGCGGGAGAACGGGGCGGGGTGATGGAAAGCGGGAGAACGGGGCGGAGTGATGGAAAGCGGGAGAACGGCGCGGGGTGATGGAAAGCGGGAGAACGGGGCGGGGTGATGGGAAGCGGGAGAATGGGGCAGGGTGATGGAAAGAGGGAGAATGGGGCGGGGTGATGGAAAGCGGGAGAACGGGGCGGGGTGATGGAAAGCGGGAGAACGGGGCGGGGTGATGTAAAGCGGGAGAACGGGGCGGAGTGATGGAAAGCGGGAGAACGGCGCGGGGTGATGGAAAGCGGGAGAACGGGGCGGGGTGATGGGAAGCGGGAGAATGGGGCAGGGTGATGGAAAGAGGGAGAATGGGGCGGGGTGATGGAAAGTGGGAGAACGGGGCGGGGTGATGGAAAGCGGGAGAACGGGGCGGGGTGATGGGAAGCGGGAGAACGGGGCGGGGTGAATAAAAGTGGGAGAATGGGGCGGGGTGATGGAAAAAGGGAGAATGGGGCAGGGTGATGGAAGGAGGGAGGTTAAGGCGGGGTGATGGATAGCGGGAGAAAGGAGCGGGGTGATGGGAAGAGGGAGAATGGGGCGGGGTGATGGAACGCGGGAGAATGGGGCGGGGTGATAGGAAGCGGGAGAATGGGGCGGGGTTATGGAAAGCGGGAGAATGGGGCGGGGTGATGGAAAGCGGGAGAATGGTGTGGGGTGATGGAAACAGGGAGAATGAGGCGGGGTGATGGAAAGCGGGAGAATGGAACGGGGTGATGGAAAGCGGGAGAATGGGGCGGGGTGATGGAAAGAGGGAAAATGGGGCGGGGTGATGGAAGGAGGGAGAATGCGGCAGGGTGACGGAAAGCGGGAGAATGGGGCGGAGTTATGGAAAGCGGGAGAATAGGGCGGGGTGATGGAAAGCGGGAGAATGGTGTGGGGTGATGGAAACAGGGAGAATGGGGCGGGGCGATGGAAAGCGGGAGAATGGAACGGGGTGATGGAAAGCGGGAGAATGGGGCGGGGTGATGGAAAGAGGGAAAATGGGGCGGGGTGATGGAAGGAGGGAGAATGCGGCGGGGTGACGGAAAGCGGGAGAATGGGGCGGGGTGATGGAAGGAGGGAGGTTGGAGCGGGGTGATGGAAAGCGGGAGAATGGGGCGGGGTGATGGAAGGAGGGAGGATGGGGCGGGTTGATGGAAAGCTGGAGAATGGGGCGGGGTGATGGAAAGCGGGAGAATAGGGCGGGGTGATGGGAAGCGGGAGAATGGGGCGGTGTGATGGAAAGCGGGAGAATGGGGCGGGGTGATGGAAAGCGGGAGAATGGGGTGGGGTGATGGAAAGAGGGAGAATGGGGCGGGGTGATGGAAAGAGGGAGAATGGGGCGGGGTGATGGAAAGCGGGAGAATGGGGCGGGGTGATGGAAAGCGAGAGAATGAGGCGGGGTCATGGAAAGAGGGAGAATGGGGCGGGGTGATGGAAAGCGGGAGAACGGGGCGGGGTGATGGAAAGCGGGAGAACGGGGCGAGGTGATGGAAAGCGGGAGAACGGGGTGGGGTGATGGAAAGCGGGAGAATGGGGCGGGGTGATGGAAAGCAGGAGAATGGGGCGGGATGACAGAAAGCGGGAGAATGGGGCGGGGTGATGGAAAGCGGGAGAATGGGGCGGGCTGATGGAAAGCGGGAGAATGGAGCGGGGTGATGGAAAGCGGGAGGATGGGCCGGGGTGATGGAAAGCGGGAGGATGGGGCGGGGTGATGGAAAGCGGGAGGATAGGGCGGGGTGATGGAAAGCGGGAGGATGGGGTGGGGTGATGGAAAGCGGGAGAATGGGGCGGGGTGATGGAAAGCGGGAGAATGGGGCGGGGTGATGGAAAGCGGGAGAATGGGGCGGGGTGATGGAAAGCGGGAAAATGGGGCGGGGTGAAGGAAAGCGGGAGAATGGGGCGAGGTGATGGAAAGCGGGAGAATGGGGCGAGGTGATGGAAAGCAGGAGAATGGGGCGGGGTGATGGAAAGCGGGAGAATGTGGCGGGGTGATGGAAAGCGGGAGAATGGGGCGGGGTGATAGAAAGAGGGAGAATGGCGGGGTGATGGAAAGAGGGAGAATGGGGCGGGGTGATGGAAAGCGGGAGAATGGGGAGGGGTGATGGAAAGCGGGAGAATCGGAGACCATGGGCCATCGGAATATGCAATACCATTTAGGTCATTCGATGATTTTTCCTAAACCCATAGGGATCCATGCACTTTCTTAGCATTTGTAGGCTGAAACTGACATCATCGCAATCGCCGAACTTTTCTGTTTGCGCAAACCAAGCTAAAATTTCTCTGGTAGGTGTATTTGACCATGGGCCATCGGAATATGCAATAACATTCAGGTTGTTTGATGATTTTCCCCACGCCCATAGGGATCCATGCGCTCCCTTTGCATTTGTCAGCTTAAACTGTCATCATCGCGATCGCCGAACTATTCTGTTCGCATGAGCGCCTGAACTCTGCCTGGTACACCCATTATAGGTGCGCATACTGACCAGACTGCCCAACGCATCACATCGACTGGTCCACTGCATTAGATGCCTCTTCTTTTGTGCTAGTCCACTAGATTAGACTATTTTCCGCATCCACAACAAGTGTTTCCATTTCGTTCCATGTGGCTCTCAAAATTTGAGCGCCTGAACTATGCCTGGTACGCCCATAATAAGTGCGCATACTGACCAGACTGCCCAACGCATCACATCGACTGGTCCACTGCATTCGATGCCTCTTCTTTTGTGCTAGTCCACTAGATTAGACTATTTTCCGCATCCACAACAAGTGTTTCCATTTCGTTCCATGTGGTTCTCAAAATTTGAGCGCCTGAACTATGCGTGGTACGCCCATTATAGGTGCGCATGCTGACCAGACTACCCAACGCATCACTTTGACTGATCCACTACATTGGATGCCTCTTCTTTTGCGCTAGTCCACTAGATTATACCATTTTTCACATCCACAACAATTATTTCCGTTTCGTTCCATGTGGTTCTAAAAAATTGAGCGCCTGAACTATGCATGGTACACCCATAATAGGTGCGCATACTGGCCAGACCGCCCAACGCATCACTTTGACTGGTCCACTGCATTGGATGTCTCTTATTTTGCACTAGTCCACTAGATAAAACTATTTGGCTAGGAAGCGCATGGATCCCTATAGGCGTAGAGAAAATCATAGAACGACCTGAATGTTATTGCATATTCCGATGTCCCATGGTCAAATACACCTACCACAGCAATTTCAGCTTGGTTTGGGGCGGGGTGATGGAAAGCGGGAGAATCGGGTGGGGTGATGGAAAGCGGGAGAATGGGGCGGGGTTTGGGAAAGCGGGAGAATGGGGCGGGGTGATGGAAAGCGGGAGAATGGGGCGGGGTGATGGAAAGCGGGGGAATGGGGCAGGGTGATGGAAAGTGGGAGAATGGGGCGGGGTGATGGAAAGCGGGAGAATGGGGCGGGGTGATGGAAAGCGGGAGAATGGGGCGGGGTGCTGGAATGCGGGAGATTGGAGCGGGGTGATGGAAAGTGGGAGAATGGGGCGGGGTGTTGGAAAGCGGGAGAATGGGGCGGGTGATGGAAAGCGGGAGAATGGGGCGGGGTGATGGAAGGAGGGAGAATGGGGCGGGGTGATAGAAAGCGGGAGAATGGGGCGGGGTGATGGAAAGCGGGAGAATGGGGCGGGGTGATGGAAAGCGGGAGAATCGGGTGGGGTGATGGAAAGCGGGAGAATGGGGCGGGGTGCTGGAAAGCGGGAGAATGGGGCGGGATGATGGAAAGTTTGAGAATGGGGCGGGGTGATGGAAAGCGGGAGAATGGGGCGGGGTGATGGAAAGCGGGAGAATGGGGCAGGGTTATGGAAAGAGGGAGAATGGGGCGGGGTGATGGAAAGGGGGAGAATGGGGCGGGGTGAGGGAAAGAGGGAGAATGGGGCGGGGTGATGGAAAGTGGGAGAATGGGGCTGGGTCATGGAAAGAGGGAGAATGGGGCGGGGTGGAGGAGCGGCTGTTAACGGTGGAGCAGACCCTAGTTGAGAGAGTGGAGGCTGTTATGGGGCAGATGATAGAGTCGAAGAAGGGATTGAAGGAGGCTGAGCAAGGATGAGTAGCGGATATGAGGGAGATGAGAGGGCAGGTTAAGGAGAGGGAGAGGGAGTTGGCAGCAGTGAAAAGGAGATCCATGTAATTTGGCAGATATTGACATTCCAATCGTACATGGTACCTGCACTACAGACGCGCATAGCGACCAAACTGACCAGCGCATTCCTCATGTTTGTAGAGATCCAGTTACTGCCATATTCTTGCCAGTCCACTAGATTATGCCTTCTACTTCAACAACACTAGGTTATAACCTTTCCGATCCACATGATTTGGGAGATTTCAGAGTTCCAGTTCTACCTTGTAACAACACGCAAGCGTGCATACTGACTTTACCAGCCGACACATTATTCTCTCCGTACAAATACAATGATTACCATATGTATTCCTATTTCATTTTAATGATACCATTTCCCACCCCCCTACCATGTTATAACCTATCGGATCTATGTAATTTGGCAGAAAAAGACATTTCAGTCGTACATGGTACCTGCACTACAGGCGCGCATACCGACCAAACTGACCAACGCATTACTTATGTTTGTAGAGATGCAGTTAGTGCCATATTCTTGCCGGTCCACTAGATTGGGCCTTCTACTCCAACAACACTAGGTTGTAACCTTTCCAATCCACATAGTTTGGGAGATTTCAGGGTTCCAGCTCCGCCTTGTACCTACACACAAGCGTGGATACTGACCTTACCGGCCGACTCATTATTCTTTCTGTACAAATACAGAAAATACAGTATGTATTCCCATTTCCTTTAAAAATAATATCATTCCCCACCCCCCTACCATGTTTTAACCTAACGGATCTATGTAATTTGGCAGATAGAGACATTTCAGTCATAAATGGTACCTGCACTACAAGCGTGCATACTTACCAAACTGACCAGCGCATTACGTATATTTGTACAGATGCGGTTAGAACCATATTCTTGCAAGTCCACTAGATTAGGCCTTCTACTTCAACAACACTTGGTTATAACCTTTCGAATCCACATAATTTGGGACTTGTGAGTCGACTCAAAGCGCACCTCCATCTCTGTATTGTATTGAGCCCCACGCACCTCTCCATCTCAGTGCCCTTGTCGCTCTGCCTCACGTGACTTGTGAGTCGACTCAAAGCGCACCTCCATCTCTGTGCTGTATTGAGCCCCACGCACCTCTCCATCTCAGTGCCCTTGTCGCTCTGCCTCACGTGACTTGTGAGTCGACTCAAAGCGCACCTCCATCTCTGTGTTGTATTGAGCCCCACGCACCTCTCCATCTCAGTGCCCTTGTCGCTCTGCCTCACGTGACTTGTGAGTCGACTCAAAGCGCACCTCCATCTCTGTGTGGTATTGAGCCCCACGCACCTCTCCATCTCAGTGCCCTTGTCGCTCTGCCTCACGTGACTTGTGAGTCGACTCAAAGCGCACCTCCATCTCTGTGTGGTATTGAGCCCCACGCACCTCTCCATCTCAGTGCCCTTGTCGCTCTGCCTCACGTGACTTGTGAGTCGACTCAAAACGCACCTCCATCTCTGTGTGGTATTGAGCCCCACGCACCTCTCCATCTCATTGCCCTTGTCGCTGCCTCACGTGACTTGTGAGTCGACTCAAAGCGCACCTCCATCTCTGTGTCGTAGTGAGCCCCACGCACCTCTCCATCTCAGTGCCCTTGTCGCTCTGCCTCACGTGACTTGTGAGTCGACTCAAAGCGCACCTCCATCTCTGTGTCGTAGTGAGCCCCACGCACCTCTCCATCTCAGTGCCCTTGTCGCTCTGCCTCACGTGACTTGTGAGTCGACTCAAAGCGCACCTCCATCTCTGTGTCGTAGTGAGCCCCACGCACCTCTCCATCTCAGTGCCCTTGTCGCTCTGCCTCACGTGACTTGTGAGTCGACTCAAAGCGCACCTCCATCTCTGTGTCGTAGTGAGCCCCACGCACCTCTCCATCTCAGTGCCCTTGTCGCTCTGCCTCACGTGACTTGTGAGTCGACTCAAAGCGCACCTCCATCTCTGTGTCGTAGTGAGCCCCACGCACCTCTCCATCTCAGTGCCCTTGTCGCTCTGCCTCACGTGACTTGTGAGTCGACTCAAAGCGCACCTCCATCTCTGTGTCGTAGTGAGCCCCACGCACCTCTCCATCTCAGTGCCCTTGTCGCTCTGCCTCCCGTGACTTGTGAGTCGACTCAAAGCGCACCTCCATCTCTGTGTCGTAGTGAGCCCCACGCACCTCTCCATCTCAGTGCCCTTGTCGCTCTGCCTCCCGTGACTTGTGAGTCGACTCAAAGCGCACCTCCATCTCTGTGCGGTATTGAGCCCCACGCACCTCTCCATCTCAGTGCCCTTGTCGCTCTGCCTCACGTGACTTGTGAGTCGACTCAAAGCGCACCTCCATCTCTGTGCTGTATTGAGCCCCACGCACCTCTCCATCTCAGTGCCCTTGTCGCTCTGCCTCACGTGACTTGTGAGTCGACTCAAAGCGCACCTCCATCTCTGTGCTGTATTGAGCCCCACGCACCTCTCCATTTCAGTGCCCTTGTCGCTCTGCCTCACGTGACTTGTGAGTCGACTCAAAGCGCACCTCCATCCCTGTGTTGTATTGAGCCCCACGCACCTCTCCATTTCAGTGCCCTTGTCGCTCTGCCTCACGTGACTTGTGAGTCGACTCAAAGCGCACCTCCATCCCTGTGTTGTATTGAGCCCCACGCACCTCTCCATATCAGTGCCCTTGTCGCTCTGCCTCACGTGACTTGTTAGTCGACTCAAAGCGCACCTCCATCTCTGTGTTGTATTGAGCCCCACGCACCTCTCCATCTCAGTGCCCTTGTCGCTCTGCCTCACGTGACTTGTTAGTCGACTCAAAGCGCACCTCCATCTCCGTGTTGTATTGAGCCCCACGCACCTCTCCATCTCAGTGCCCTTGTCGCTCTGCCTCACGTGACTTGTGAGACGATTGAAAGCGCACCTCCATCTCCGTGTTGTATTGAGCCCCACGCACCTCTCCATCTCATTGCCCTTGTCGCTCTGCCTCACGTGACTTGTGAGTCGACTCAAAACGCACCTCCATCTCTGTGTCGTAGTGAGCCTCACGCACCTCTCCATCTCAGTGCCCTTGTCGCTCTGCCTCGCGTGACTTGTGAGTCGACTCAAAACGCACCTCCATCTCTGTGTCGTAGTGAGCCCCACGCACCTCTCCATCTCAGTGCCCTTGTCGCTCTGCCTCACTTGACAAGTGAGTAGTGAGTCGACTCAAAACGCACCTCCATCTCTGTGTCGTAGTGAGCCCCACGCACCTCTCCATCTCAGTGCCCTTGTCGCTCTGCCTCACTTGACAAGTGAGTCGACTCAAAACGCACCTCCATCTCTGTGTCGTAGTGAGCCCCACGCACCTCTCCATCTCAGTGCCCTTGTCGCTCTGCCTCACGTTACTTGTGAGTCGACTCAAAACGCACCTCCATCTCTGTGTCGTTGTTTCCATTTCGTTCCATGTGGTTCTCAAAATTTGAGCGCCTGAACTTTGCGTGGTACGCCCATTATAGGTGCGCATACTAACCAGACTACCCAACGCATCACTTTGACTGATCCACTGCATTGGATGCCTCTTCTTTTGTGCTAGTCCACTAGATTAGACTCTTTTCCATGTCCAAAACAAGTGTTTCCACTTAGTTCCATGTGGCTCCCAAAATTTGAGCTCCTGAACTATGCGTGGTACGCCCATTTTAGGTGCGCATACTAACCATACCCAGCGCATCATTTTGACTGGTCCACTGCATTGGACGCCTCTTCTTTTGTGCTAGTCGACAAGATTATACTATTTTCCACATCCATAACAAGTGTTTCCATTTCGTTCCATGTGGTTCTCAAAATTTGAGCGCCTGAAATATGCGTGGTATGCCCATTATAGGTGCGCATACTGACCAGACTGCCCAACGCACTACTTTGACTGGTCCAGGCATGAGAGGGGGAAGGCAGGAGAGGGGGAAGGCATGAGAGGGGGAAGGCATGAGAGGGGGAAGGCATGAGAGGGCATGAGAGGGGGAGGGCATGAGAGGGGGAGGGCATGAGAGGGGGAGGGCATGAGAGGGGGAGGGCATGAGAGGGGGAGGGCATGAGAGGGGGAGGGCATGAGAGGGGGAGGGCATGAGAGGGGTAGGGCATGAGAGGGGGAGGGCATGAGAGGGGGAGGGCATGAGAGGGGGAGGGCATGAGAGGGGGAGGGCATGAGAGGGGGAGGGCATGAGAGGGGGAGGGCATGAGAGGGGGAGGGCATGAGAGGGGGAGGGCATGAGAAGGGGAGGGCATGAGAGGGGGAGGGCATGAGAGGGGGAGGGCATGAGAGGGGGAGGGCATGAGAGGGGGAGGGCATGAGAGGGGGAGGGCATGAGAGGGGGAGGGCATGAGAGGGGGAGGGCATGAGAGGGGGAGGGCATGAGAGGGGGAGGGCATGAGAGGGGGAGGGCATGAGAGGGGGAGGGCATGAAAGGGGGAGGGCATGAGAGGGGGAGGGCATGAGAGGGGGAGGGCATGAGAGGGGGAGGACATGAGAGGGGGAGGGCATTAGAGGGGGAGGGCATGAGAGGGGGAGGGCATGAGAGGGGGAGGGCATGAGAGGGGGAAGGCATGAGAGGGGGAAGGCATGAGAGGGGGAAGGCATGAGAGGGGGAAGGCATGAGAGTGGGAAGGCATGAGAGGGGGAAGGCATGAGAGGGGGAAGGCATGAGAGGGGCAATTCCGGCCAGAGCAATTCCGGCTTGGTTCGCGCGCACATAAAGTTCGGCGCTTACGATGACGACCGCGTCTGCCGGCAAATGCTAAAGAAGTGCTCGGATCCCTATAGGCGTAGGGAAAAGAGTCAAATGACCTGAGTGTTGTTGCTTATACGGATGGCTCATGCTTAAACACACATACCAGAGCAATTTCTGGCTTGGTTTGCGTGCACAGAAATGTTCGGCGACAGCGATGACAGCCGCGTCTGCCGACAAATGCTAAGGAAGCGCACGGATCCCTATAGGCGTAGGGAAAAGCATCGAACGACCTGAATGTTGTTGCATTTCCAAGTTGCCCATGCTCAAATACACCCACCTGAGCAATTCCAGCTTGGTTTACGCGCACAGAAAAGTTCGGCGCTTGCGATGACGGCCGCGTCTGCCGACAATTGCTAAGGAAGCGCATGGATCCCTATCGGCGTTGGGAAAAGCGTCGAACAACCTAAATGTCGTTGCATATTCGGATGGCCCATGCTGAAATACACCTACCGGAGCAATTCCGGCTTGGTTTGCGCGCACAGAAAAGTTTGGCGCCTGCGATGACGACCGCGTGTGCCGACAAATGCTAAAGAAGCGCTTGGATCCTTATAGGCGTAGGGAAAAGCGTCGAACAACCTGAATGTTGTTGCATATTCGGGTGGCTCATGCTTGAATACACCTACGAGAGCAATTCCGGGTTGGTTCGCGCGCATAGAAAAGTTCGGCGCCTGCGATGACGGCCGCGTCTGCCGACAAATGCTAAAGAAGCGCTCGGATCCCTGTAGGCGTAGGGAAAAGAGTCGAACGACCTGGGTGTTGTTGCTTATTCGGATAGACCATGCTTAAATACACCTACCAGAGCAATTTTGGCTTGGTTCGCGCGCACAGAAAAGTGCGGCGTCTGCGATGACGGCCGCGACTGCCGACAAATGCTAAGGAAGCGCACGGCGTAGGGAAAAGCATCAAACGACCTGAATGTTGATGCTTATTCGGATGGCCCATGCTTAAATACACATATCAGAGCAATTACAGCTTGGTTCGCGCGCATAGAAAAGTTTGGCGCCTGCGATGACGGCCGCGTCTGCCGACAAGGGTTTAGGAAGCCCTCGGATCCTTATAGGCGTAGGGGAAAGAGTCGAACGACCTGAATGTCGTTGCATATTCGGGTGGCGCATACTTAAATATACCTACCAGAACAATTCCGTCTTGGATCGCGCGCAAAGAAAAGTTCGGCGCCTGCGATGACGGCCGTGTCTGCCGACAAATGCTAAGGAAGCAATAGGATCCCTATAGGCGTAGGGAAAAGAGTCGAACGACCTAAGTGATGTTGCTTATTCGGGTGGCCCATGCTCAAATACACCTACCAGAGCAATTCCAGCTTGGTTCGCGCGCATAAAAAAGTTCGGCGCCTGCGATGACGGCCGCGTCTGCTGACAAATGCTAAAAAAACGCTCGGATTCCTATAGGTGTAGGGAAACGAGTCGAACGACCTGAGTGTTGTTGCTTATTCGGATGGCCCATGCTTAAATACACTTACCAGATCAATTTCGGCTTGGTTCGCGCGCATAGAAAAGTTCGGCGCCTGCGATGACGGCCGCGTCTGCCGAAAAATGCTACAGCAGAGCTCGGATCCCTATAGGCGTAGGGAAAAGGGTCGAACGACCTGAGTGTTGTTGCTTATTCGGGTGGCCCGTGCTTAAATACACTTACTAGAGCAATTCGCACTTGGTTCGCGCGCACAAAAAAGTTCGGCGCCTGCGATGACGGCCGCATCTGCCGACAAATGCTAAAGAAGCGCTCGGATCCCTATAGGCGTAGGGAAAAGAGTCGAACGACCTGAATGATGTTGCTTATTCGGGTGGCCCGTGCTCAAATACACCTACCAGAGCAATTCCGGCTTGATTCGCGCGCACAGAAAAGTTCGGCGCCTGCGATGACGGCCGCGTCTGCCGACAAATGCTAAAGAAGCGCTCGGATCCCTATAGGCGTAGGGAAAAGAGTCGAACAACCTGAGTGTTGTTGCCTATTTGGTTGGCCCGTGCTTAAATACACTTACCAGAGCAATTCCGGCTTGGTTCGCGCGCAAAAACAAGTTCGGCGCCTGCGATGACGGCCGCGACTGCCGAGAAATGCTAAGGAAGCGCACGGATCCCTATAGGCGTAGGGAAAAGCATCAAACGACCTGAATGTTGTTGCTTAATCGGATGGGTCATGCTTAAATACACCTACCAGAGCAATTCCGGCTTGGTTCGCGCCCACAAAAAAGTTCGGCGACAGCGATGACGGCCGCGTCTGCCGACAAATGCTAAGGAGCGCACGGATCTCTATAGGCATAGGGAAAGGCATCGAACTACTTGAATGTTGTTTCATATTTGAGTTGCCCATGCTCAAATACACCTACCAGAGTAATTCCGGCTTGGTTCGCGCGCATAGAACAGTTCGGCGCCTGCGATGACGGCCGCGTCTGCCGAAAAATGCTACAGAAGAGCTCGGATCCCTATAGGCGTAGGGAAAAGCGTCGAACGACCTGAGTTTTGTTGCTTATTCGGGTGGCCCGTGCTTAAATACACTTACTAGAGCAATTCGCACTTGGTTCGCGCGCACAAAAAAGTTCGGCGCCTGCGATGACGGCCGCGTCTGCCGACAAATGCTAAGGAAGCGCACGGATCCCTATAGGCGTAGGAAAAAGCATCAAACAACCTAAATGTTGTTGTATATTTGGGTTGCCCATGCTCAACTACACCTACCAGAGCAATTCCGGCTTGGTTCGCGCGCATAGAAAAGTTCGGCGCCTGCGATGACGGTCGCGTCTGCCGACAAATGCTAAAGAAGCGCTCGGATCCCTATAGGCGTAGGGAAAAGAGTCGAACAACCTGAGTGTTGTTGCCTATTTGGTTGGCCCGTGCTTAAATACACTTACCAGAGCAATTCCGGCTTGGTTCGCGCGCAAAAACAAGTTCGGCGCCTGCGATGACGGCCGCGACTGCCGAGAAATGCTAAGGAAGCGCACGGATCCCTATAGGCGTAGGGAAAAGCATCAAACGACCTGAATGATGTTGCATATTCGAGTTGCCCATGCTCAAATACACCTACCAGAGCAATTCCGGCTTGGTTCGTGCGCATAGAAAAGTTCGGCGCCTGCGATGACGGCCCCGTCTGCCGGAAAATGCTACAGAAGAGCTCGGATCCCTATAGGCGTAGGGAAAAGGGTCGAACGACTTGAGTGTTGTTGCTTATTCGGGTGGCCCGTGCTTAAATACACTTACTAGAGCAATTCACACTTGGTTCGCGCACACAAAAAAGTTCGGCGCCTGCGATGACGGCCGCGTCTGCCGACAAATGCTAAGGAAGCGCACGGATCCCTATAGGCGTAGGAAAAGGCATCAAACAACCTAAATGTTGTTGTATATTTGGGTTGCCCATGCTCAACTACACCTACCAGAGCAATTCCGGCTTGGTTCGCGCGCATAGAAAAGTTCGGCGCCTGCGATGACGGCCGCGTCTGCCGACAAATGCTAAAGCGCTCGGATCCCTATAGGCGTAGGGAAAAGAGTCGAACGACCTGAGTGTTGTTGCCTATGTGGTTGGCCCGTGCTTAAATACACTTACCAGAGCAATTCCGGCTTGGTTCGCGCGCAAAAACAAGTTCGGCGCCTGCGATGACGGCCGCGACTGCCGGGAAATGCTAAGGAAGCGCACGGATCCCTATAGGCGTAGGGAAAAGCATCAAACGACCTGAATGTTGTTGCTTATTCGGATGGCTCATGCTTAAATACACCTACCAGAGCAATTCCGGCTTGGTTCGCGCGCACAGAAAAGTTTGGCGACAGCGATGACGGCCGCGTCTGCCAACATATTCTAAGGAAGCGCACGGATCTCTATAGGCTAGGGAAAGTGTTAGAATGTAGAACTGAACGAGAATGTGTGAAACTAGGCAGCAGGGTGATACAAGTAGGAAACCCTAGCAATGTTGTACCCCCTAAGGCTAAACCCACTATAGCCTACACAATATGAACATGTATAATGTTTGACACACCCCCATAGGCTAAGTGGGAGACAACCAGATGGTCACAAGACCAGTCAAAGCAAAGCAAAGCAAGCTCAGGGTGGATCTCAAGGAAACCACACAAATTCCGAGCACAAGCAAGTGGTCACAAGACCAGTTCACATGCAGTTTGATAATATAACAAGAGGTACAGTGATCACAACCTAACAAGAGTAAACATGCAGGTATATATATATAGAGATCACAGTACAAGCAGAGTCAAGAAGTGAGCAAGTGAGGGAGAGTAGGCACAAGGCCTAGAACAGTACAGAAACACTGATGGTCACAAGGTTGAAGCGCCTTGGTGAACACATCAGCAGTGTTGGCCCGAGTGGCCACGTAACGCAGACGAAGCTGACCACGCTGCTGCAGCTCTCGAGCAAGGAAGTAGCGCAGAGCGATGTGCTTCGTCCTGTGCTCCAGTCTGTGCTCCTCACACAAGGAAATGGCGGCCTTGTTGTCAACGTACAGCACTGGAGGAGAACGAGGCCGCTCTCCCAGGTCGGTCAGCAGGTAGGTGAGCCAGCGTAACTCCTGTGCAGCCATGGCTGTGGCGTAGATCTCAGCCTCACAACTGGAGCTGAGAACAGAAGAAGAGCGAGTAGAACGCCAAGAAACTGAACCAGAGCCAAGGCTGAAGGTGTAACCCTGAGACGACCGCTGCGTAGCCTGGTCGTCAGCCAAAGAAGCGTCTGAGTGACCCGTGAGGACAACGTCGCTCCGACCTCCAAGCACGAGCCCCATGCCCGACGTACTGCACAAGTAGCGCAACACCCTCTTAGCGGCATCCATGTGCTCCTTCCGGTGACGGCCGGGAGCGACATAGCGTGCTAGGATGCTAAGAGGGTATGCCAGGTCAGGTCGAGTGCAGGTCATCAGGTACATGAGGCAGCCCACAAGCTCTGGATACGGGCCACTCGGCTCTACGGACTCATCCGAAGGCAGAGCTGAGAGCGAGTGACCGGTAGGCAGAGGAGTGGGCTGAGGCGAGGATTACGTGAAGCGGAAGCGCTCAAAGGACCTGCTGCACCATGTGTGACTGAGTCAAGGTGATGGTGCGCTGTGCTCTGTCCCGGGTGATCCGCAAGCCAAGATAGCTTGTCAGCTCACCCAGGTCTGTGCACGTGTGTCTCTTCTGCAGCTCCGACTTCACGTGGGCGAGTGCCTCAGTGTCAGCAGTAGCAAAGACCAAGTCGTCTACGTAAACAAGAACGTAGAACGGCGGCAGAGTGGTGTCGGTGCGTACAAACAGCGACAGGTCAGCAGTAGAAGGAGCAAACCCAAGAGCAGCAAGAGTAGTCCTCAGTGTGTCGTGCCACTCACGGGGTGCCTGGCGGAGACCGTAGACTGGCCGTCGGAGGCTCCACTGGGTACCAGGAGGGAACGACCCAGTAAAGCCAGGTGGGCGGCGCAGCCAGATCTCCTCGTGCAGGCTGCCCTGTAAGAACGCAGTGCTGAAGTCAAGAGAGTGGAGCTCGTAGTCACGCTGAGCAGCGACGTGCAGCAGAACCCGAAGAGTGGTCATCTTCGGGGTCGGGGAGAAGGTCTGGAAGAAGTCAACTCCCTCTCGCTGACTGAAGCCTCGTGCAACGTAACGTGCCTTGAAGACAGGAGGAGAACCCGGCGGCCGCTTCACCCTGAAAATCCACATGCCACTGACGATGTTCGCCCCAGGTGGGGGAACCTCGTCGACGTAGGTGCCTGTGGACTTCCAGGAAGCCATCTCTGCGTCCATGGCTGTCTGCCACTGAGAGGAGTAGGGACCCTCCATCGCCTCTGCGTAGGAGCGTGGGGTCGGGATGTCTGGTGCATCCGGGTCTCCCTCAGGGGCAACTAGCATGGACACGAGATGAGGCAAAGCAGCGGCAAATCACTCAAACTCCTCCTGTCTATCCTCAAGGACGTCCGTGCCAAGAGCACACTCACCCCCGACAGACGGAGGACAGACAGACTCAGACTCAGACTCAGCAACAAGGCTAGCGGCGTAGTCTAGACAACAGGCAGCAGCAAAGTCAACAAGCTCAGCGACTAGAGCAGACGCAGCAGAGGACTCAAAGGAAGGGTCAGTGACAGCAGTGGCAAGGAGACGCGTGACAGTAGGACTGGCAGCACGAAGAGAGTCAGACTCCGGGTCAGCAAGAGCAGGAAGAGAGGACGCTGGTGGAGACGGTAGTGGGACACGCTGTGGAGCAGTAGAGGGACGCAGGGTCATATAGTCAGTGCCAAGGACAGGAGGAGGACGCTGACGTGGAACACGACGACCAGCGCGGACAGTGCGGACAGGCGACTCTGGACGCGACTCAGACGACTCTGGACGAGTCTCAGGCGACGGAGGACGAGACTCAGGCTCACGACGCTCCGTAAGACCTCCCGTCGGTGCAGTGTAGGGAGAAGGACCAGGAAGTGGAGAGACTGGCTGTAACTGTGACTGCGACTGGACAAGCGGTGGACTCAGTAGGGGAGGAGTAGGACCAGGAGAGGGCGGAAGGCCAAGAACCTGCTGAAGGAGCGGAACGTAGTACGGCCGTGGCCGCTCAGCACCTCCAGCTCCAACCCCCTCAGCAGGGCCAGTCCCAGCAGCTCCAGCAGCACCGCCAGCAGCAGCAGGGTCCCCAGCAGCTCCAGTACCAGCAGCACCTCCAGCAGTGCCAGCAGCACCACCAGCAGCAGCAGCACCTCCAGCAGCTCCAGCAGCACCAGTACCAGCAGCACCTCCAGCAGCGCCAGCAGCACCGCCAGCAGCAGCAGTACCACCAGCAGCTCCAGTAGCTCCAGCACCAGTAGCACCTCCAGCAGCGCCAGCAGCACCAGCAGCACCTCCAGCAGCGCCAGCCGCACCGCCAGCAGCAGCAGCACCTCCAGCAGCTCCAGCAACACCAGAACCAGTAGTACCTCCAGCAGCGCCAGCAGCACCTCCAGCAGCAGCAGTACCTCCAGCAGCTCCAGCAGCACCAGCAGCACCTCCAGCAGCGCCAGCCGCACCGCCAGCAGCAGCAGCACCTCCAGTAACTCCAGAAGCTCCAGAGTCCACGACACCGGGAGCGCCACTCCGGAGACTGCAGCGCCTAGCGTACCACTCTCGGAGCTGCTGGGGAGAGGGCAGCTCCCGCCTAGGAGGGGAAGCACTAGCACCAGCTCCGGCACCACTCCGAGCTCCAGAAGCACCTCTTCTGAGGCTGCAGTACTGTAAGTACCACTCACGCAGCTGCTGCGAGGAGAGGCCTCCCCCAGGTGCAGCACGCTCAGGCTCAGTACTCTCAGACGTAGCACTCCCAGGCTCAGCACCCCCAGGCTCAGCACCTCCAGACTCAGCACCCGCAGGCTCCGCACCCCCAGGCTCAGCACCCCCAGACTCAGCACCCGCAAGCTCCGCACCCCCAGACCCCGCACCCCCAGGCTCCACACCCCCAGACCCCGCACCCCCAGGCTCAGCACCCCCAGACTCAGCAACCCCAGGCTCCGCACGCTCAGGCTCAGCACCCCTGGCAGGACGAGAGTCGACAGCTACCTCGACAAGCTCAACCGGGTCTACCTGGGACACACCTGAGGGAGCGGCACCCTGAGGGGGGAGGGGGTCTACCACAGCAGCACCTGGCGCGAGGAAGAGAGGCGGGGGGGGGAGCGGGGCAGTGCGGTAGGGGAAGAGGCGGTAGTAGGGCACGGACTCGTCAAAAGTGACGTCCTGAGAGGGCAGGAGACGGCGCGAGGTGGCGTGGTAAAACTGCCAACCAGACGCGTCCGGGACAAAGCCAAGGAAGACACAGGGAACAGCGCGGGAGGAGAGCTTGTCCGCGAACGTATCGCGAACAAAAGCTCGGGATCCCCAGACCCGAAAACGCGACGCATCGCCAACGCAGTGTCGGTGAAGTCTCCGGAACGGAGACACGGGGCCAGAGGTTGAGCTGATGCGCAGCGTATCGGACCGCAAATGGCCACAGAAAGTGGGGGGCAGCCGCATGGATCAAGGAGGTACGAGCGACCTCCATGACCAAACCAATGCGGCGCTCAGCAACCCCATTCTGCTGTGGAGGGGCCGGAAGCGTGAACGACTGGCAGATGCCGTGCTCCGCACAGTAGGCTGCCAAGAGGTCAGAGGAGAACTCACCACCTCTGTCAGAGTGCAGACGCAGGACAGGAAAGTCCGAGTGGAACCGCTCACTGAGCTGGAGACGAGAAGCGCGGATCCAAGGGATCAAAACATCAGGGACCTCACCCTTGGTGCGCAAGGGGAAGTCCGTGGTGTAGCGCGAGTAGTCGTCAACAACGATCAGGAAGTACCTCTCCTGACCCTGTCCACGGACGCGGGCTGGGCCCCACACGTCCATGTGGAGCGTCTGCAAGGGAGCAGTCGTCGGGGGAAACGAGGAGGAGTGAGGAGCGGCGCGCTGCCGCCCCTCGACACAGGGAAGGCAGGGAGGAGCAGGCGAGGGTGGGAGTGGAGGGAGAACCCTGGGAAGACCAGAGACAAGGTACCGATTGTGCATGGCACGAAGGCGCTGCACTGACGGGTGACCAAGACGGTGGTGCCAGAGGACAGTCTCGTGTGCGAGGGAGCGACACGAGCAGGGGGCAGACAGCTGACCTGACGCAGACGCAGACACAGCTACCTGTGGGGACTCAGTGGTCAGTGTGTACAGGTCCGACCCCGGCTGCCGAGTGAAGGTAGCCAGGTGGCGGCCCGTCCGAGCGCACGTGCAGTGTGTCACACGCTCGTAGGCAGGGGTAAACTGGTGGACACCCCCGTCCTGGAGCGCACTACCCGCCACCAAGTTCGTAGAGAACGAGGGGAGGTAGAGACCTGACAGAGTGCCCGACGGGACCGCAGGACAAGGGAGAACAGTAGAGGAGGTCGCAATGACCGGACCCCCAGAGGGGTCAGCGAGGGAGACTGCAACCGGCCGAGCAAGCTGCTCAAGGGCAGTGCGGTCACGAAAGAAACAGCGGGAAGCGCCTGAGTCCAGTGTGAAGGTGTGCAGTGCCTCAGTAGACGCAGTACCAGAGGGCGCAGACTCACGAGTACCTAGAGCAGCAGCCTCACCAGCACCTGGGGCAACAGACATACGAGCACCTAGTGCAGCAGCCTCACCAGTACCTAGAGCAGCAGACTGGATACCGGGGTCAGGCGGCACACACAGGTGATAGGCACTCTCAGCACTAGTAGGAAATGCATACATGGCAGTGAGGATAGCATCATAGTCAAGAGCATAGATATCTACCCTCTGCCTAAGCAGCTCCACCCAGTCGGGAAGCTCAGCCGCGTCGCCAAACTCTGTACGCCAGGCGTCGCTCAGACGGGCGAAGCAGCGGGACTCTGTGTGACCAGACGTCCCGCAAGGCTGACCAGTCCGAGCACCAGTGCGAATGACGTACGGGCAGCGAGCAGTACCCCGTGACCCTCCACGCTGAGCGTACCACTCACGAAGCTGTTGGGGCGTGAGGGACTCACTCGGACGTCGCGGGAGCTGCATCTGGCCACCGCCAGGAGCAGCAGTAGCAGTAGTAGCAGCAGTAGTAGTAGCAGCAGCGCGGCCACCCCTACAACCCCAACCAGCATACCACTCACGAAGCTGTTGGGGCGTGAGGGACTCACGCGGACGGCGCTGGAGCTGCATCTGGCCACGCCAGGAGCAGCAGTAGAAGTAGAAAGAGCAGTAGCAGCAGGAGCAGCAGTAGCAGCAATACGGGCAGGGCAGTGCTCACCAGTGGCGAGAAGGGCAGGCGTACGACGGTGATAACGGCGAGGCCGCTACCACTGCAGGGCGAGGGCTCCGCGGCAGCTGCAGGGGCGGCTGCTCCAGGGGCCAGGGGCGGCTGCAGAGGTCCAGGGGCGGCTGCTGCAGGGGCAGCTGCTGCAGGGGCGGCTGCTGCAGGGGCGGCTGCTCCAGGGGCCAGGGTCGGCTGCTGCAGGGGCGGCTGCTCCAGGGGCCAGGGGCAGCTGCTCCCTTTTTTTTTTTTTTTTTTTTAATAATTAATTATTTATTTTAGGGTTTGGCAGAGCGCACTCGGCGCTGCAGAGGCGGCTCGCGGGCTGCAGGGTGGCTAGGGCAGCAGCGAGGGGGGGGGGGCGGCGCGCGGCTCCCCAGGGCGCCGCGACGGGGCAGCGGGGGGGGGGGGGGCGCGCGCGGCTCCCCAGGGCGTCGCGACGGGGCAGCGGGGGGTCGCGCGCGGCTCCCCAGGGCGTCGCGACGGGTCAGCGGGGGCCGAGCGCGGCTCCCCAGGACGTCGCGACAGGGCAGCGGGGGCCGAGCGCGGCTCCCCAGGGCGTCGCGACGGGGCAGCGGGGGCTGAGCGCGGCTCCCCAGGGCGACGCGACGGGACAGCGGGGGTCGCGCGCGGCTCCCCAGGGCAGCGCGACGGGGCAGAGGCAGCGCCCACGGGCGACACGCGGCTCGGCAGGGCAGCGCGCTGGCTGCAGGGGCGGCTCTCGGGCCTGACGGGCCTGCCGAGGCGGCTCGGGGGGGCCTGACGGGTCTGCAGAGGCGGCTCGGGGGCCTGACGGACCTGCAGGGGCGGCTCGAGGGCCGTACTAGCTTGCAGGAGGCAGCGCGAGGGCTGCAGGACGGCACGCGGGCAGACCGAAGGGCGGGTCGCACGGGGGCGCACGAGGGCGCACGTAAGGTAGGGCGCACGAGGGCGCACGAGTATAGAAAGGCGCACGAGGGCGCACGTAAGGTAGGGCGCACGAGGGCGCTTCTAGCGGAATAGTGGGCCCGTAGGAGAAAGCGGTCCTAGGTAGCAACCTAGGCTCGTGATACCATGTTAGAATGTAGAACTGAACGAGAATGTGTGAAACTAGGCAGCAGGGTGATACAAGTAGGAAACCCTAGCAATGTTGTACCCCCTAAGGCTAAACCCACTATAGCCTACACAATATGTTTGACAGAAAGGCATCAAACAACTTATATGTTGTTTCATATTTGAGTTGCCCATGCTCAAATACACCTACCAGAGCAATTCCGGCTTGGTTCGCACGCATAGAAAAGTTCGGCGCCTGCGATGACGGCCGCGTCTGCCGACAAATGCTAAGGAAGCACTCGGATCCCTATAGGCGCAGAGAAAAGCGTCGAACGACCTGAATGTCGTTGCATATTCGGGTGGCCCATGCTAAAAAACAACTACCATAGCAATTCCGGCTTGGTCCGCGCGCACAGAAAAAAGTTCGGCGCCTGCGACGTTGGCCGTGTCTGCCGACAAATGCTAAGGAAGCGCTCGGATCCCTACAGGCATAGGGAAAAGCGTCGAACGACATGAATGTTGTTGCATATTCGGGTGGCCCATGCTCAAATACACCAAGCAAAGCAGTTCCGGCTTGGTTCGCGCGCCGACTAGAGCGAGCATCGTGACAAGCGAGCATCGTGACAGGTTTGTTGTAAGTTTTCGATATATATCTGGTAGATTGTTATAAGTTTCTTTAAAACAAATTTGCACGTTTTTTTCCATATATATATCTAAAACACTCATTCATAAAAGAACATTTGATTACATGAGCTCAGTGTGAATTAAGAAAACAGGAATGAATTGACTAAGTGAAAGTTGGGTACAAAACGCAAACCCTAGAAAACTGTACCCCATATGTGCTACCCCACTATAGCCTACAGTAGCTATGTCATATAAATCTGACACACCCCCATAGGCAAAGTGGGGGAGAACAAGGGGTCACAAGACCAGTCAAGCAAAGCAAAACAAGCTCAGGGTGGATCACAAAGTCACCACACATTCCGAGCACAAGTTCAAGGCCACAAGGCCAGTTCACATGCAGGATTGCATATATATATATATAAGACTAGACAAGCAAGAGCAGGTGTATATATATATGCAATAGTACAAACAAGGTCAAGGGGTGAGCAAGTGAGGCAAGGTAGGCACAAGACCAAGCTGAGTACAGAAGCGCTGATGATCACAAGGCGCAAGTGCCTTGGTGAAGATATCAGCAGTGTTGGCCTCAGAGGCCACGTACGCAAGCCGCAGCTGACCACGCTGCTGTAGCTCACGAGCAAGGAAGTAGCGGAGAGCAATGTACTTCGTTCTGTGCTCCAGTCTCTGCTCTCGACACAAGGCCAGCATGGCCTTGTTGTCTACGTACAGCACTGGAGGAGAACGAGGCGGCTCTCCGAGGTCAGTCAGCAGGTAGGTGAGCCAGCGAAGCTCCTGTGCAGCCATGGCCCCGGCGTAGATCTCAGCCTCACAACTGGAGCCGAGAACAGAAGACGAGCGGGTAGCCCGCCACGAAACAGAGCCGGAACCAAGGCTGAAGGTGTAACCCTGTGACGACCGCTGCGTAGCCTGGTCGTCAGCCCAAGAAGCGTCTGCGTGCCCAGTGAGGACCACTGGACTCTGCCCTCCAAGCACAAGCCCCATGCCCGACGTACTGCACAAGTAACGCAACACCCTCTTCGCTGCAGCCATGTGCTCCGGTCTGTGTCTCCCAGGAGCAACATAGCGTGCAAGAATGCTAAGAGGGTACGCAAGGTCAGGTCGTGTGCAGGTCATCAGGTACATGAGGCAGCCAACAAGCTCTGGGTACGGGCCACTCGACTCCACGGACTCATCCGAAGGCAGAGCTGAGAGCGAGTGGCGAGTAGGCAGAGGAGTGGCCTGAGGCGAGGAGTACGTGAAGCCGAAGCGCTGAAGGACCTGCTGCACCATGTGTGACTGAGTCAGGGTAATGGTGCGGCGTGCTCTGTCCCGGGTGATCTGCAAGCCAAGGTAGCTGCGCAGTTCACCCAGGTCTGTGCACGTGTGTCTCTTCTGCAGCTCGGACTTCACGTGGGCGAGTCCAGCAGTGTCAGCTGTGGCGAAGACCAAGTCGTCGACGTACACGAGGATGTAGAACGGCGGCAAAGAAGTGTCGGTGCGCAGAAACAGCGACGGGTCGGCAGTAGAGGGAGCAAACCCAAGAGCCGCAAGTGTAGTCCTCATTGTGTCGTGCCACTCACGCGGTGCCTGGCGGAGACCGTAGACTGGCCGCCGGAGGCTCCACTGGGTG